GTGTGCTACCACATCTGTTTTTAACTTGACATTTTGGGGATCAAATAATTTAATAGTTAAGAGCCAGGGCCATGGAGTCAAACAGACATGGGTTGGACTACTGGATGTTTTATTTGTGTGGCAATGGGACTTGAAGCCTGTTATCATTAGTTAAAAAGGGCGGGGTGTAAGAATTAGATGGAATAATGAATAGAAAATATAGCTTTCACTTAGCACATGAAAGCTCAGGAAATATCAGTAATTATCACTAAAATATCATCAAGCCTTATCTTCCTTTATTCATAGTGTATATTCAGAGTCCAGAAAGACTGATAGCGAGTGAAAGGTTTTTGTATATTATTTTTATGTCTTCGTGCTTCCGCTGCATGTTGTAGATTCTTCTGCTTACAAATGAGCTTGTTTCCAAATGCTAAGAAAATTTCTCTTGAATGTTAGACCTCTTTTGCTTGTTCACTGTCGTACCCCAAGAAGTTACCATCTCATCTCCCTCCTTCTCTTCTACAGTTCTTACGTTAAAATAATGCGTATTACAAGAGTAGTTTGTTTGCATTATAGAAAATTAAAATAAAAAGACCACTTTTGAATCAGAGTCTTGCTATGTAACCCAGGCTCACCTCAGACTCAGAATCCTCCTTTCTCTGCCTCCAAGTGCTTCAACTATAGCTGTAAGCATCCTCAAGTAGCTGCATCACACATACGGAGCCCAGAAGTCTCCACCATTACAATTTTGTGTATTCTCAACAACTCTCTCTCCCTGTGTGTGTATGTGTGTGCGCGCACACTTGAGCTCAAACTTGTGAAAAGGTTCCCACGTTCCTTGTCAGTCCTGCCTTTTCTCTGTGAACAGTAGGATCAAACTTACATTTCTCTGAATCATGAACAGTCTCTCCCTTGGTGTGTCCGAGATAATGTGTAATTCTGTGTTTGTGGAGGTTGGTTTGGGGACTGCTTTCTTGCTGTGTTGTTTGTTCTGTTTCTCTGTCCCCTGTGTTTATGGATAAAATGGAAGTTATAGAAGCTTGGTGGGTTCACTTTAATACTTGGGATAGAGTATTATAAGTAATGTGTACACAATCATATCAAAACATGCATGGTGTGTGGTTGACCCAGTGTTAATGACAATAAGACCAACCTCTGGATTAAAGGTTTCTAATTTTTATTTACATATGGTCTCTCCGTGTGTCTTCTTATTGTGCTCACAGATTTTGTGAGTTATGATACTCTAAGTTCTACATCATAATGAAGTACAGTTTTCATTCATTCATGTGTGACTTCACTGATTCAGTTCATTGTGCTCTATGTTCTTTTTGATAGTTGGAAGTGTGTCAGTTTGCCTACCTAGAATTTCAGAGTGTGTCCCTAGGCCTACCTGACACACCTACTAATCTACTCTTACTAATTTGATGATGCCAAAAATCTCTTGACTTTTAGCTACCTCAAAAAAAATATTTTTAAAGAAATATGCAGATTTGAGTTCCACCTATCTGGTGTCTGCCTTGTCCACCAAGCCTGACTGCCCCTTCTAAATTTTCTGACTAACTTCCAACGTTCACTGTAATAGGTTGTTTTTGTTTGTTTGTTTTTGAGACAGGGTCTCTCCATATAGCCCTGGCTGTCCTGGAACTCTATGTAGACCAGGCTGGCCTTGAACTCACAGAAATCCTCCTGCCTCTGCCTCTCGAGTGCTGGGTTTAAACCACGCCCAGCTGTGGTTTTTTCTTGAAAGCCTCTTCTACTTTGATGTTCATGATCGATTGGTAGTCTTGTTCTCTTCTTCCTCTGCACCCCCCTTACATAAATACAGACATTCTCCAGTTTTAGTCGGCAGCCTCCTTACTTCTCAGGCTTCCATGTATCCATCCATCAACACTGTAGCCCTGGCTTTACGTCGCCTCAGACTCTGTTAAAACCTTTGCTTGGATGTCCCTTTACTTCTTCAAACCCACTCTGTCTTACCCCAAACATTGGCTCCTTATGGTTTCTTTTAGTTTTCTATTTTTATTATAAGTCCATAGTTGTAATACCTTCTGAATCCACATCTCTAACCAAAAATTGGCACAGAAATCAATCCTGTCTCAAGTATGTTTCTTGCATTTCTCTTTTCTGTTCCTCTTAGTACTTCCTCTTCCTGAATGTTACTGTGACTTCATTGGGCTGTTCATAAGCCTCCTAATTCGTGTCTTTCTGGTTCTTCTGTGTTAATCTGTATTATTTATGCACTACTGCTAGCTTAATCTTTCATTTCCCTAAACTTAAAAAAAAGCATATGAAACCAAACAACATAAAAAAACCAACCCACCAAACCGCCTTTAGTGGTCTCTACTGCTTTAGTATATTTTCCTTCCACATGCTTTCTTGTCTTTATGACTGTGTGGTTCTCACCTCCTGCTCCACATGCTTTCTTGTCTTTATGACTGTGTGGTTCTCATCTCCTGTTCCACATACTTTCTTGTCTTTATGACTGTGTGGTTCTCACCTCCTGTTCCACATGCTTTCTTGTCTTTATGACTGTGTGGTTCTCACCTCCTGTTCCACATGCTTTCTTGTCTTTATGACTGTGTGGTTCTCACCTCCTGTTCCACATGCTTTCTTGTCTTTATGACTGTGTGGTTCTCATCTCCTGTTCCACATGCTTTCTTGTCTTTATGACTGTGTGGTTCTCATCTCCTGTTCCACATGCTTTCTTGTCTTTATGACTGTGTGGTTCTCACCTCCTGTTCCATATGCTTTCTTGTCTTTATGCCTGTGTGGTTCTCATCTCCTGTTCCACATGCTTTCTTGTCTTTATGCCTGTGTGGTTCTCATCTCCTGTTCCACATGCTTTCTTGTCTTTATGACTGTGTGGTTCTCACCTCCTGTTCCACATGCTTTCTTGTCTTTATGACTGTGTGGTTCTCATCTCCTGTTCCACATACTTTCTTGTCTTTATGACTGTGTGGTTCTCATCTCCTGTTCCACATACTTTCTTGTCTTTATGACTGTGTGGTTCTCACCTCCTGTTCCATATGCTTTCTTGTCTTTATGACTGTGTGGTTCTCATCTCCTGTTCCACATGCTTTCTTGTCTTTATGCCTGTGTGGTTCTCATCTCCTGTTCCACATGCTTTCTTGTCTTTATGACTGTGTGGTTCTCACCTCCTGTTCCATATGCTTTCTTGTCTTTATGACTGTGTGGTTCTCATCTCCTGTTCCACATGCTTTCTTGTCTTTATGCCTGTGTGGTTCTCATCTCCTGTTCCACATGCTTTCTTGTCTTTATGACTGTGTGGTTCTCACCTCCTGTTCCATATGCTTTCTTGTCTTTATGCCTGTGTGGTTCTCATCTCCTGTTCCACATGCTTTCTTGTCTTTATGCCTGTGTGGTTCTCATCTCCTGTTCCACATGCTTTCTTGTCTTTATGACTGTGTGGTTCTCACCTCCTGTTCCATATGCTTTCTTGTCTTTATGCCTGTGTGGTTCTCATCTCCTGTTCCACATGCTTTCTTGTCTTTATGCCTGTGTGGTTCTCATCTCCTGTTCCACATGCTTTCTTGTCTTTATGACTGTGTGGTTCTCATCTCCTGTTCCACATGCTTTCTTGTCTTTATGACTGTGTGGTTCTCACCTCCTGTTCCACATGCTTTCTTGTCTTTATGGCGGTGTGGTTCTCATCTCCTATTCCACATGCTTTCTTGTCTTTATGCCTGTGTGGTTCTCATCTCCTGTTCCACATGCTTTCTTGTCTTTATGACTGTGTGGTTCTCACCTCCTGTTCCACATGCTTTCTTGTCTTTATGGCGGTGTGGTTCTCATCTCCTATTCCACATGCTTTCTTGTCTTTATGGCGGTGTGGTTCTCATCTCCTGTTCCACATGCTTTCTTGTCTTTATGACTGTGTGGTTCTCATCTCCTGTTCCACATGCTTTCTTGTCTTTATGACGGTGTGGTTCTCACCTCCTGTTCCATATGCTTTCTTGTCTTTATGACGGTGTGGTTCTCACCTCCTGTTCCATATGCTTTCTTGTCTTTATGACGGTGTGGTTCTCACCTCCTATTCTCACGTACAACAATCGCCATAACCAGACGACATTAATCTGTCAGTTCCAGATTCCACTCATTCTGCAGGTGTGATGCAAAAGCTATGATGCCTTTTGTCTACCCCCGGCCAAATATACTGTTTCAAAGTTATAGTGAAGCATTACTTTAAAAATAGTTACATGTGTGTCTTATGTTTTTGGTTTTTTTTTTCTGTTGCTACATAAAATGCTCTGACAGAAGCAACTCAAAGGAGAAAGAATTTATTTCAGTTCACTGTTCCAGTATAGTTCATCATGGTGGGAAAATCCAGGCAATGGGAGCCTACAGTAGTGGGTTTGTTGTAGGTCTGAGTAATTTTAAATTCAAAAGCTTTATTAGACTTTTTCGTTTTTTTTTTTTTTCTTATTGTGTATCTAGGAGGAGATGTAGTGAAAAAGAATTTCCTATCACCATTATGTTGTCGTTGGCAGTTTTTAAGTTGGACCTGTTAACCGATCTACTGTCTTCACTCTTGCTCTATGGAAAAAATGCCATTCTTATATTTACCAATATCGTGCAGCTGTATTTTATAGTATCAATGTGTCTTTTAGATAGTACTCAGTACCTTTATTAGAAAATAGCAAGTTAAGTATTATTCCTGAAAAATAAACTATTAATTAAAATTCTTCTGATTATTGTGACTTTCTTCTCTAAGTCTGTTCTTTTATTACTAATTTCTGCCTTTTCTTTAATAGCATGTATTGCCAAACATTCTTTAATTTAAATTTATGGTGGACATTTTAATACAATGATTTGTAAATGTTGTAAGGAGATGGTGCTGAGGTGTCTTTAAAAATGGTGTGACATCCAGCTGATGCAGAGCATCCTGTTTATAATGTGGGCCAAGCACCATGCTGTACCCAGCTCCTATCACGATGATCAGATTGAAAATGAAATTGCATTTCTGTCAATTACTGAGCTGGCAACTGTTCAATATATCTTAGCAGCAAGATGAAGAGAGACGTCGGCAGCTGAGAGAGAGAGCTCGTCAGCTAATAGCAGAGGCTCGATGCGGAGTGAAGATGTCAGAACTTCCCAGCTATGGTGAAATGGCTGCAGAAAAGTTGAAAGAAAGGTCAAAGGCATCTGGAGGTGAGCTAAAGAGTCTTGTAGCATATTCTGCAGAGAACCCAGAAATCCTCACTGGACCTTTTAGGACTTTTTACTTCAAAATGTTACATCAAAACCGTAAACTTTCTAGCCTATTGATACTTTTTTTTAAGCTAAAGGAAGTATACTAAATCGGAAGAGAACTGTTATTATTTCCAAGTCAGCTTTTTGCCTTAATTTTTAATGTAAGCATCATTCTTTAGCTTGGACATGGGGGCACAAGCCAGTCATCCTGGCACTTAGGATGTGGAGGCAGGGGTGATTTCAAGCTTGGGGCTAGCCAAGACCCTGTCTCAAAATCAAAAAAGGAGAAGAAAAAGGAGAGGGGAAGAGAGAGGAGGAAGAGGAGATGACACTTTTTAGCAGAAACATCGTACAGAATTTGGTTTATGATACCCCTTGATGCCTCACTGTTAGAGGAGTAGGTGAAATGCAGTCACATCCTTCATGTCTAGAATGTGGGACTTGCTTTTCCATGGGAAACTTTGCTTGGCTTATACTGGAGATTGAACCAGGGTCTTGTGCATGCTAAGTGTGCATTTGGACACTAGGCATGGCCACCAGCTCCGGGAATTTCCTTTTGAATAAGGTCATTAATTGCTATTTCTGTGCTGGGAGATGGCTCAGCTCGTGAAAGCACTTTCCACCACCATGCCTACCGCCCTGTTTAATCCTTGCAGCATAGGTAGGTAGCGTAAAGAAAGACTCCGTTCCTGTACTTTGTCCTATGACCTCGACATGTGGGCTGTGGTACAGTCACCCCCCTCCCTGCACACAGCCAGGTGTGCTGGTGTAGACTTGTAACCCCAGCATTGGGAGGTAAAGCTAAGAGCATCAGGCCTAGGCCACATGAGACTCTTAGAGCCCAATGTGTAAGAATTGTTACAGTGCTCTGTATCCGTGTCCTTTAGGTCATTTCTGTTGTTCTTACTCTGAGAAGGTCATCTTCAGTATTTGCAGATTACTCTAAGATTAATGTTGAGACAAGGACCATATAAATAAAAATAACTTTAATTTTCCTCTCAGTATTCAGTTTGGTCATCCTTAATTTGAAACTGCACTTTTTCTGGGAGTATATTCAAGAGGCCTATGAACTTTTTATTTCAGAGTCATAACCTATTTATCTAATAAAACATTTCAGGTACTTGTCCTTAGTTCATCTTAGATTACCTTGAAGATTAGGCAAATCAGGACTTGAATAAGACCTTAGCGAGATGAAACAAAGAAAGGTCTCTCCAGTTCAATAGGAAGTTTCTTCAAAGGAAACGAAAAGTTATTGCTTTGATTTTAATTGATTCCTTAGAGTAAAAGTTTACTGTTGTAAGATGACAATGTCAAGGAGGCCAGGAATAAAGTTGTAGTTAATGTAGTTAATGGCTGTCTACACAGTTGGTGCTTTCTGTGATACAACCCAAGTTGAGACCTTCAGATGTAGTTTAGTGGTAGAGTATTTATTTGCCTACCACGAATCAGGCCCTAGGTTCAGTCATTGTTACTGGCACACACATACTAAAATAAGTAAAATAATTTGTCGAAGGCTGTAGACCCTCTCCTCAGATGAGATATTTAAAAAAAAATACACAACCCCAGTTGCAAGTGTATATCAAGACTAGACTAGACCAAGAAACCTTTTCAGTATTGCAGCCCATGACTGGAGTGCTGTGGGATGTTCTGTATGTTAAGTGTGTTGCTCTGATTGGTTAATAAATAAAATACTGATTGGCCAGTAGCCAGGCAGGAAGTATAGGCGGGACAAGGAGAGAAGAGAATCCTGGGAACAGGAAGGCTGAGTCAGGAGACGCTGCCAGCTGCCACCAAGATGAGAAGCAGATGTTAAGATACCGGTAAGCCACAAGCCACGTGGCAACTTATGGATTAATAGAAATGGGTTGATTTAAGATATAAGAACAGTTAGCAAGAAGCCTGCCATGAACATACAGTTTATAAGAAATATAAGTCTCTGTGTATTTACTCGGTTGGGTCTGAGCGGCTCATGGACTGGTGGGTGAGAGAGATTTGTCCTGACCGTGGGCCAGGCAGGACTGGAAAACTCTAGCTACACTGGAGCTCTTCCTACATTGGGGGAAGCAAAGACCTGGATTTGACATCATTTAACAGTCAAAGTAAATACAGTGAACAAAATAAATGAAAGAGTAGGAGCTAAAGCTGATGCTGTTCAGTGGCACAGCGGAACTTTCCCTTACACCTGATCCTTATCCGGTCACCCCTGCTGGGTCCATCTGCTAGTCTCCATCCTGTATGAAAATGCCGTGGGTGAGAAATTGTACTTGCCAGTGCCTGTCTGGCTTCTTTCACTTAACATACTGATCCCATTTCCATTCTTGTTTTTTATGGTTCTATTCTCTTCTGTTGACTGTATAAACACTTTCTTTAACAGTTCATGGATGGACACCATGAGCCTATAACTTGGCAGTTTGTGAGTATGACCACAAAAAACATGCCAGTGCAGATGAAAAAACAGAAAGCTAAGGCTGACCTAAGCATGTAGAGCAGGCCTATTCTCTGTCATCAGATGAGTCTTGGTCTGTATCCATAAAGAAGCAGGCATGAGACCGTCTTCCCCAACCTCAGCACCCTGCACTGATCTCATGTCTAAGCTATAATGATCAAGGCTGTGAGTTGTAGAGAGACCTTTAGGAAAGGCAGAGTGAAAGTCTTTCTGAAATTCAAACATACATACATACATATACACACACATACATACACACACACACACACATACATACATACATACATACATACATATATATGCACCTGCCTGTCTAGCATCTCCAGCCACTTGTTTAAGCCAGAATTCAGCAAACATATTGTGGGCCAGAGTAAATTTACTCTTACAGACCACCTGATCTCTACCACAGCTGCTCGACTCAGCCTTTGTAGTCTGAAAGCAGCTTTAAATTATATTTGAATGAATAGACATAGCTTTATCTGTCCCTCAAAAGCAGTGGGATGAATTCTGTCCCTGTCTAATAGTTTGCTGATCCTTACGTAGCATATCCAAAGTTCACATGGATTCATAGGAATCCAGTCCCCATGATAACTTGGGATAGTATGAAATGCATTGGGACAAAATAAAGTCTTAAAGATTTTCAATGATTTTTATTTTCATCTTCTATTAGGACTATAATGTTTGTATTGCATTTCTTATCTTTTGTTTGGTCTCTGTAGAATTCTGAAAGTTCTGAATTTCATGGAGACCTTGGTTGAGAATATTTTTTTTTAAAGGGGGTAAGTGAGAAACTTCTTTCTGAATCTTTTATTTTTTCCGAACATATTTTTAATGATGGCCTAGGATTCTTTCCTTGGCATTGTAGACCGTTTTATCACCAGGTGTCCTGGTTTCCATTCACCTATTAAAGAAGAATGTGAGATTGGCAGTATTGCTGTGCTATAGTGGTGCACACTGCCAGAACTTTATTTAGCTCACAGGATTGTGCCTTGTCAGCCAGCACATAGCTTCACATTCTATTGTGTAGTTGATATCTCATTTCCCTACACATGTAAACACAGAATACAGCCCATACTTGTCTCTTCCATTTGTGTACTGGATCTCTGCTTTTGGTTCTACTCACCTACTAGATTTTCCATGGTTAGCCATGAAGACTATATTGATTGATGTGTGTGTAGATACATGGACATAGATGTAGTGTCTTTTAATACATAAATGCATGTGTGCACACACACAACAAACATGTACTTGAGTTCTGTTACAGTACCTTTAAAGTATTCCCACTGGTCAGGAAAGATGCTGCATTAACTGCTGAAAAGAATTTAACGTTCATTTCAAAACTGGTTAGTGATTGACAAATAAAATCTCATTCATAGGATAAGCTGATGGATCAGCTTTTATTTTTGTCTTCCAAAACAGTAATCATTTTTTGTTAAGTCTAGCAATACTAAATTAATCCATCTAGATTATTGGTGAGTGGTATAATGGAGGTTTTATTTTTTTTTCTGGAAAAAACACATGGCACCTGTTTAACATGACCCAGGACTTGACAACTTACAGATACCCATATCCATCCGCATTTCTGCTCTTCCCCACTTTCCATGGCAGAACCATTGTTTGCGTTCGATCAAAGTGCTTGCCTCGCCTCTTACCCCTTCCCCACACCCCAGTGTCCAGTCAGTTTCAGATCTTACACCTTTTTTAAGTTAGGCTCTCCATACTGCTTCTGCAGGTCAGAATAGTTCCCAACCTAGATTTCTCACCTCCAGCTTTTCTGTTCTCTAGTACAACAGCTAGGTCAACAGTTTGGCATGGATGATGTTGTTGTCTGCACGGATAGCATCCTCTGTCCCCAGGTCCTTACGATGCTGTTTCTTTCCCATGAAGATACAAAAGTGTAATCAAGAACAGTATTGTGGGTGTCATATTGAAGCTGTCTAACACGGCAAGGGCCTCAGGTACTGCTACTGCTGCTCATGAACTACACACACTTCACAATTACAATCAGATAGGTGGGCTGAAAAGTACATAATCTTGTTGAGCTCCATCATCTCTCCATTTCCACCACCTAACATTTCAGCTGCCCGTTCCACCCTCTGGGCTGACTCCCGTTGTACCCTTCAAGCCTTACCTCTGTTCTTTCCCTTTAGTATGCCTGAGCAAGTGGACAGAACAGAGCCTACCTTCGACTTTCATGCCTGTAATGCCTTCCCCTCAGTTGGCCTAACTTTAAAGTTCCTACCTCCAAGAAAGAAATCCTGGTGTCACTGGCAAAGAGTAACCTTTTTATCTTTGGAGTTGCTCTGTGCCTTCTTTTTTACCCCATAACTCTGATCCTACATGGTATTATAATCACTTCAATGTGATTATAATATTAAATTAAAAACTTACCTCCTCAATATCTAGTATAGTGTTTTGCAAGTTACATAACAGAACACTATAGACAGAGTGGTTCTCAACCTTCCTAACGCTGCGACCCTTTAATATAGTTCCTCATGCTGTGGTGACCCCCAACCATGAAATTATTTTAATTGCTACTTCATAACTGCAATTTTGCTACTGTTATAAATCGTAATGTAAATATCTGCTATGCAGGATATCTGATATGTGACCTCCCAGGATGAGAACCACTAATGTAGTTTTGTTTGTTTGTTTGTTTGTTTTTTGGAGTAAAAGAATGAGTATTGAATTTTGTGCTTTGATTCTAGATTAATTGTGGTTAGTAATAATCAATGGTGACTGATTGACAGCAGCCACGTATAACTAGCTCTCCTGAAATCATTAATAGTTAATGTCTCTGGCACAGATTATTTTAGAAAAGTGTTTGATTACCTTTTTAGCACTTGGAAGTGTTTGCTAATTCATTTGCTGAGCTACAGAATTGTTTGGAGAAGTTTTGAGGACCATGAAGTGAAGGTGTTCACCTTCAGAAAACGAGTGGCATAGCTGTGCTGGGCGTAGTTGATGAGAAAAGAACTCTCAGCAACCGACCATGCTTAGGTGATGTAGTCACATATGTGATTCTTGAGCTGCTGCTCCCAGCAGCCATTCTGTGTCTACGTTCCCACCTGCCAGGAGGAGGCACTTCCCAGTCTTTTTGTTCTTCGTTGTTTTCTTCTTCTAACTGGCTCATACAGTGGATGGGAAGTCTGTTAAGTGGTAATTGTTATTAGCATTCTCGGTAGCTGATTGGAAAGCCAAAAATCAAACAAAGATGTGCTTATGCATTTTTAAATTATCTAGTAAATGATAAAAAAAAATGAAACTCGGAGTTTTGGGTGTTTTTTCACCAAATCAACTTTATTTTCATATGCTATTGTATTAGAGATTATTAGTAGATTATACGGTAAAACACAAGGACTTAATGAGCTCAGTGATTCAGAGACAGTGGGTGGCAAATTGTCAAAACTTCTGCATTTGCTTTGATGTGATAATTCAGCTTTGACATAAGAATGTAAAGTATAACTGTTATCCAACAGTGGAAAAGTGACTTAAACTGAGTTCTTAACTTGCTTATCTTTGTCATACTTGAGTTTGAGCATGTCATTGAAATATTAGTTTTTCTTCTTTAGAGTTAAGGACAAAGATACAAATGATATACTAACACTGTTGCTACATGTTCTTACAGATGAAAATGATAATATTGAGATAGATACTAACGAGGACATTCCTGAAGGCTTTGTTGTAGGAGGTGGAGATGAACTTACTAATATAGAAAGTGACCTTGATACTCCCGGTAATTTCAAATTATAAATGTTTTGTTTCCTATTGCATGGCAAGCTTTATCATTATATTTTTATATTTCATCAATAATAATTTATTTTTGTAGTCTCTTTACGTCTTATGCCCTCACTGATCATTTAGTCAAATCCACCTTCCATTAATTTTTATATTATTTTGTTTCCAGTTGAATGTTCAAATAGCTTAATGTTGATACAGTAAATGATGACATAGGTTCTTTTATTGCTAATATCACTCTAAGTTTCAGTTGGTAGGCATTCAGGAAGTGGCTTCCTCACTGCTTCTGGGTTGTGATGTGATGTTTTATACCACATGTGCAGTCACTATGGAATAGTTCAGATCTAAGTCTAAAACCGTAGATCATGCCTACTTAGTTTAGAACTAATCATGGCAGTACTGGGTATATAGGCCAAGGTAGGAGGAGAGTAAGCACGTTCCAGGACAACCTGGACTACATGCAAGTTTGAGGCCAACCTGGGCTTTATTGTGAGATTTTTCTCTCAAAATAGGTAGTCTTAATTGTATTATTTTGCAAGTTTCTTGCTTACTTTAAATATTATGGCTGTTTTACGTGGGCAATTGATTACAGTAGGACACTTTGAAAACTCCTTGTACAGACGACAATTAGATTAACGTCACATCTTCTATCAAGTCAGTGAGTCACACTGCAATTGTCTTTATTCTCCTCTAAACTGTGAAGATGCTGTCTTCGTGTGGGCTCTGTATGCAGTGCCTTCAGAAGAAGCAGCAGGTAGCAGTCCAGAGTTGCAGATGCCGAGTGGCTCCAGAGAAGCTTCTCAAATTGAATTCTTGCAGCAGTAACAACGCTGGCATCCTCTTTAGAGTTCTCCTAAGTGTCCTGTCCAGCACGGTGTCAGTGGGTGACAGCCGCGCTGTCCCACCTCTGACGTGTCCTTACAGACTGACCTGCTTTGTTACTTCTCCAGGACACAGCCATCCAAGGCCTTCTTAACCACAAGGAGCACTTGAGAAAACCCAGGGCCTTTCTCAGTCCCTCCCTCGTGACTCAGTATTAAGATATACCATTTCTGTATAGCAGCCAGTGTGCTTGAAATAGTGAAAGAAAATTCTAGTATTTGAGGAAACCATTTTAAATGTTTAGCTCAAAATTAAAACTACCTTTGAGTTCTTTTTTAATAAACCTTTTTTATTTTTATTTTCTTATGTGTATGGGTGCTTTTCTTACAGGTATGTCTGTGTACCATATTATGTGCCTAGTACTGTGGAGGCCAGAAGGAGGCATCAGATCCACTGGAACTGGAATTACATCCAGTGCCTTCATGTGGGTGCTTGGAATTGAACCTGGGTTTTCTGTACGAGCAGCCAATGAATGCTCTTAACTGCTGAGCCGTCTCTCCAGCTGCTTTCTTAAAAGCAGTAGAACTTATCTTCAGTTTTTCTTTAAGAAAATATTTTTGTTGCTGTCTGCCTGTCCTCCATTTATAATTACCACAAAATTCTTTCTTAGAAACTAAGTGGGAGAAGAGAGAGGGGGGAGAGAAGGAAAAGAATGCTCAATAACCGGTTGCTGTTGAGGACTTGAGGATTGACTTCTAACTATGGAATTATAAAATTAGTAAAATAAGCAGTGTGTATGTCCTTCTAAAGTAGATTAGAAAGACAGGGGAAAATAGCCATTTCTTAGGTAATATGGAAAAATTAGCTATTATAACTTTTGTGGGATATTTTAAAAATCTGGTTAATTTTAATCCTGGCAAGTTTGACTCTTACACTTAGGAAAAATTCTCTCAGAGATGGGGAGATGGTTTATTCAAGAAAGTGCTTGTGTTGCAAGCATGGGTCTCTTAAGTACAGATCTCCAACACCCAGGTAAAAAGCCAGGTGTGGAGGCCCCGCTCTGTAACCCCAGGTGGGTTCCTGGAGCTTGCCGGCCAGCCAGGCTAGCCCACAGGGTGAGTACCAGGTTCACTGAGTGAGAGACCCGGTCTCAAAAACATCAGGTGCTCCTGAGGAAGACATCCAGTGTCAGTGTCTGGCACAGGCATACATGCACATATATACAAGCAGATACACACACACACACACACACACACACACACACACACACACACACACACATAAATAAGTAAATAATAAAAACTAAAAATTAAGAAAATTCACTGCTGAAAAGGAAAGCGTGTCTCCATCTCCTATTTGGTGTTATTTGGGGATTTTTGGTTTTGTTTTATTTGAGACAGACTCTCACTGTAGCTCAGGCTGGTCTGGACCTCCCTGTATTAGCCTAATCTACCCTGGCACTGGCAATCTGCCTGCTTCAGCCTCCCAGCTTCTAGGATTACAGTGTGACCCAACTTTCTCCACAACCAATACAGCTCTTCAGCATGCCGTAAGTGTAGGCATGTGCAGACACATGCTTTGCAATCCATAGCTGTGCTTATGGTAACAAAAGATAGGAATACAAACTGGAATCTGGAAGCACACAGAAATAGTGTGATTTTTATCCTGCTTTATTTTCTCCAAAATTCCTTTTTTAATATGTATATAAAAGTCATAATGTTTTAATAATAAATTGTTCAATCTTTATCTTGGTTTGACCATAGTTCATCAGATATTGTTTAAAAAGGGAGCCTGGCAGTATAAACTGAAAAATTTGCATGAAAGTAATGATAATGACATTTATTAAGAATATTATAATTAGAAAAGTTATTAATCTTTGTGAAAAATACCATTCTCCAAAAGTTGGCATGTCTTTTACAAAACCATTTTATTAAAAAAAAAAAAACTTTGTGTGAATTTTAAGTAGAAATATTTGTTTCAACTCATTTCTGAACCACTTTATTATTAGCGATTAATGTACTTGGTAAAATAATTTGAAATTGTTCCTTTGAAAAGTTATAGCCATAGTTTAGTTGCTTTCCATTTCAATCTATATTTAATACATTCTGAAATCATGATAATCTTTATTGTATTTCTGCTGTTTAAGTGGAAAGTATTTGCAAACATACACTATTTTGATGCTGGGTGTATATATATATGTACACACTTAAACACTGGATTCTGACAGTGTGTATGTTACCAAGATCATGTTAATAACATGTTTCAAGATGATATTGCATGTGTAAATTAACATACTAAAATAATTGAAATGGTAGAATTTAAATTCAAGTGTCAGGGTTTGTTAGTGGCAGGCACCTGTAATCCCAGCACTTAGGAGGCAGAGGCAGGAGGATCACTGCAAGTTCAGGCCCAGCCTTTTCTATATAGTGAGTTCCAAGCTAGCCAGGAATATAGGGGAAGAGCCAATCTCAAAAAAATAATCTAGTTTGTTGTTTTATTGTGTATAATGTATATAGTGTGTGTGTGTGTGTGTGTGTGTGTGTGTGTGTGTGTGTGTGTGTGTGTGTGTGTGTGATGTGTTTCTGTTTTTCAGGTAATGAAGCCGTATCTTCATTATCTTTAGGCATGTTGACCATATTTGAAGGGATTAACCCTAAGGGTAAAATATATAGCAAAAGAGCTCTCCATGTGTCTAGTCTGACGTGTTGTCTTAGCCCCAATGTCTTTTGAAATTTAATAATATTCTTGTGATGCCACTTAAAATTGGTAGCCTGTGCATCTCAGTCCGCTTATATGTCATTCATGGTATTTGCATGTTTATCAGAACAAAATAGTAAGTTGGTGGACTTGAAGCTGAAGAAGCTCTTAGAAGCCCAGCCACAGGTGGTAAACTCGCTCTCCAGTGCTGCCCAGAAAGCTGTAACTGATACCTCGGAGCAAGGAGTAAAGGTAAGTCTTCCTAACTTAAGAGCTGCCTTAGTAGCTTCCCTCCAGAGAGACTGCTGTTTCTTCTGTCTCAAGCAATTCGAGGGTGTACAGAAACTGTTCTTGAACTCTGATTTTGCTAAGAAGAATATTGCCGAGAGAATTCTAGCATGGTTTTCTGTCTAAACCTTTTACCCATGCAAATGAGCAATTAGTGTTATTTCTAAGAATCCGTCATACCTGAAGATGGTAATGGGGTTGAATTTAAAGCAGTTGTTTGTATGAGATTTGTGCCATTATGACTCTTATCTACTGTAACATTTTAGACAAAGTGGCGTTGTGTTCATGTCATTATTGTTATTACAGGCTCTCTATAGTGTCCCCACCCAAGCTTCCCACCTCCTTTCCCCACATTCTATCATTAGCATTTCTCCAGCTTTGGGGACAGCAGTCCTGTGTAACTTTTCACCCACCTGCGGACTATGGGGATTGCCCTGCTGACTGAAAGGATTTCCTCCCCCTGACAGAGCTGCTTTGAAGCCCCAAAACAATGGCTCTCATTGCTCCCTGTAAGGTCGTGTCTGAAATTAGTGATTAAAAGTGTGTGGTGGAGGCAGAAGACTTTTCGTCTCTATCTCTGAATAAAAGGAAGCCTGGATTGGGTCTGGTGTCTTTTTTTTTTTTCCTTCAATTTAGCTTTCTGCTCTGGATTTAATGCAGAATGAAGCTTGCCTAAGAATAATACAATGGATTGAAAAGGCTAACTGAATTAGTGGGTTTAGAGGAATACATTTGTAAAGTGGCAGAAGTTCCTAGTCATAAAAAGCTTTCTTAAGATGGGATTTACTGGCTAATCATACTGATATTTTAGCATGTTGCCAGCCCTAAAAATATTAGCCATGTTTGTTTATCTTAGTAAAGACTTGAGTTTTAGACTATTGGATAATCATTAAAATAACAGTAAAAAAAATCATACTTTAAAAAATTAAAGCCAAAAGTATTTGTAACTTAATTACCTAGTTAAGATATTAAAAGATTGATCATAATGATAAACGCAACAGACAACTTTTTTAAAATTACACAATTGTTTAATTTTTATAAGTTAGTCATCTACATATATGAAACTGGTTTTGTTTTCCAGACAGCTCTTTTGTAGTAATTTCTAAAAGTTATTCCAACAAAACATAGACTTTAAACAGATTGCGTTTGTGTGACTCTCTTTAGTTGAGGTTTTGAAAATGGTGTTTAGAAAGAACGCAAGCATCCATCTGCTCCCTTGCAGCTTTCAGCATTGATTTGGGTTTTTATTTTTTTAATAAAATGCAGTTTACACATTTATAAATGAGGCATTCTGTGTTTGTGGAAAAGGATAAACTGTTACCTTCCCTGGAGGATTCTGTATCCCAGGCCTCCTTGAGGCTAGAGAATAGGCCATTGGAGGGCTCCCTCATTACTGATTGTCTCAATGCAGAGGAAGGGCAAAGTCTTGGTAGCTTTTGATAACCAGTTTCAGCATTCAGCAGGCTCAGCTATTAGTCATGCATCTTAGCCTTTCCCTATTTACTTTCAAAACACTTAATAAAAATAATAAAAGATTAGGTATAAAATGAAATATTTGTTTGGTACACAGCACCTCGGTATCTGCAGCTTCCACACACTGCGGTGGTTCAGTCTTCTGGGATATTTCTTGTTGATAGAACCATTTGAATTTGTTACCAGTATTAACATAGGAAGCTCCAGAAAAGATAATTGTAGTTTCCTTGGCTGTAAAGGGCTTACTTACAAATCGGGCTTTGGAAAGTTATAGCTGATGAAATTCAGTTCAGTGGGGTAGTGTTATAATCCTGCCTTTTAGCCCTCACCCAGCATTAATGGTTTATCTGAATGGGCATAAAATTGGAGACTATTTCTTCTTGTCATACGAGTCCGTAGGACTACAAACAGAAGGGGCAGAGGAGGTAACATGGCTTCTAATGATGCTTATCATCAGCGGAAGACACACGGCTCATAGTCTCTGATACATCAAAGTCGTCAAGGGTTTAAACCATGTGTTCCAAAGTTTTTGCCGACTGGCCAAGGAACCTGCTATTTATAGTACTTTAAAATGCTGCCAGATAGCTCAGAAAAGTCAGCATTATCTTAAATTGGTAAAACTTACCTCCCTCCCTGGCATGTAATTCCGTATTCTGAACTGTTGTGCTGTCTGTTCTTTTGCTTTTAGAATGGCGGGGAAGATCTTCGGACTGAGCGGTTACAAAAAGCACCAGAACGTTTCAGAAATCCTGTTGTGTTCAACAAGGATTCTACAGTCAGGAAAACTCAACTCCAGTCTTTCAGTCAGTATGTTGAGAGTAGACCAGGTAGGAATGCTTTTAGAACTGTCTCATGGTGTAACAGTGTTCAACTGTAGGTGTACATGTATTAAATAGAGAAATGCTGATAATGTAAAGCCACATTTCAATATATAAATATCAAGCTTTATAATAATTTTACATGCCTCTCCCCTTTTTTTTAAGAGATGAAAAGACAGAGATCAATCCAGGAAGATACAAAGAGAGGAAATGCGGAGAAGACAGCAATAACTGAAACTCAGAGGAAGCCATCAGAAGATGAAGTACTTAATGTATATTAATTTTTTGTGTGGTTTCATGATTGCTGATAATTCCAAACTGTATGTGGAAATAGTGCCTTTATTTGTTAAAATGAGATGTTAGGTTTTTTAAGATGTCAATCTCCAGTGCATTCAAAGCAGTGTGAGAGGGGTACGCTGCTGAATTAGTCTGCAGTGTGGTGATAATTGTCAGATAAAAAAAAAATGAATTTTTCAGAGTTCCACAGCCCCAGCTTCCTTGAGACATTTCCATCAGGGCACTTCCCATAAAGAGATTCCAGTATTGATCTACCGGGAGGATTTTAATTATTACAATAGCAGATACCGCAGGGCTGCAGTCAGAGGGAGAAGTCACATGAGACCCGCTAGAATTTCTCAGCCAACCCATTTTGTTGGCTTGGGTTAATGGGTGTTCAACCTTTCCATTATCCAGATCAGCCGTGAATTACTAGCTGAATGATGTTTGCATTAATATAATATATATGGTAATTTCTTCACTTAATTAACGGGGAGGTTCAGCTCAGTAGGGGTATGGGCTGATCATGTGTAAAATTGATTTGTGAGGGAAATATTTGATAGACCGCAGGGAGAAAGCTGCTTTTGATGGACAGCTGCGGGACAGAAGCAAGGAGAACAAGTTTTAACTTGAATTTTTGTCTAGAGAGAAGCACAGCTCTCTTTAATGGTGTTACTTTTGTATTATCTACAGTTTGAATATTTTCACTGTTAAAAATCATGTTTTTGGGAATTTTAAAATCATTTAAGTGCAACTTGAAGTTATCAGCAGCATTTTGGGACTCTAAAGGTGCCTCATTTTCTACTTTTCACCTTTAGGAGACCCAGAAAAGTACAAAAACAATATCCCTGGTGTATCTTGAGAAAGCAGGCGTAGCTTAGTGAGCTGTAGGATGTGTATGTGTGGTGTGTGCTCACACTAAAGGGGTCTGACGACTGCCCACAGCACTGCAGGACTCACAGATCTGATATGAATTTGTACTGCGCAGTGAAGTCTAGTGTTTGCTACAATTTCCGCTTTTCTGTTTGTATTGTCTGCAAACTACAATGTTTGTTTTATCCCTTTGGATGGGACTGGAGACAGAAAAGGCCCCTTTAGAAATACTGTGCTGGCTAGTAGGAGAAGCGTCCCCCAAGTTATTCTTAATTTTATACTTACCAGTAACACACATTGAAATAGACACTCCATTTTGTGTGAATCTTTAAACAATATGGTGACATTGTATCAGTGACTACAAGACTATCAGATTATTTATGATTTTCTAAAACATTTTAACTTTAAATTTATCAGCTGCCATAATCAATTTAACAAGTAAAAGTTATAAATTGACTTCACAAATGAATGCAGTTTTTAAGTAGTTCAGAAAGTAAGTTATTAGTAGAATTGAACATATTTATTGACCATGAGAATTTATAATAATTGTAAGTCTTGATTGTGCTCCTTGTTTAAGAAGTGCCTAAAATAGTGTGTCCCAGCTTTCCTAGCAGTCAATGTACTTCCTGGGCTGGAAAGCATTTGACAAGAGACTCTACCGCTTCTGTCTCTGAATGGATAATGCTTTGCATATTGATGATAGTGGTAGTGATGAGTAGCCACTAAGCCATCGTTTAATACCTAGAAATGTCAAAGGGTACAAGAGTTGCAAGGAGAGCTTTTTATTTATTAGCTGTAACAATATCATATATACAAACTTATATTATATATATATATATATATATGAAAATTAGAACTTAAAAGTTATACTGGTACTCCATAATAGAACTTCTGTTTCAAATAAAACTTATAAGACCATTTTTAAATTATGGATTACTATGAAAGTAAAATTTCAAATAGAAATACAAATTTGATTAAAGAGAAAATTAAACAGTAAACTAATTGAATTATATTCTAAGTAGCAAGGTTTGAGACCATTTGCCTGGTTAAAATTTATAGCCCTAAAGATCAGTAACATTTCAACTCAGTGGTGTACAGAGTCTATCTAGAAGAAACTATGGAGATATTACAAACTTGGTCTCCTTTGGTGTCTGATTTTTCAGCCAGGGCCTCACTGGATAGCCCTGGCTAGGCTAGAGCTTACACAGATGAAGCTAGCCTTGGACACCTAAGTACTTTACCTGCCTTTCTGCCTCCTGCATCCTGGAATTACAGGCATATATCACCATACTTGTCATCTTTTTTTTTTTACTTTTTTAATATTTTAAATGATATAATTTCCACATAAGCAAAAAAAGTATCTTTTTTGTTTGTTTGTTTCTACAAAAGAAATCTGATTCTCTCTAGATAATTTAAGGATCAACTTCATAGTAAAACCCTGCTTCTATATATTGTACTTTTGAATGAAAGATCTGTTCTAATAGTCATTAAAGGGAAAATTCCCCATTTTGTTCATACCTAAATCACTGACTTAATCCTAAGGAAAAGGCCATCTCACTCATTGTTAACTTTTTATATCTGGCAAATCTGGAGGTAAATTTATAAATGTAACACTCAATAGCTGAAATGTTCGGTCTTTGCAACAGTTTGTTATACTTGATGCATATGAAAGATCCCTAAATCACAGGCAGGAGTGGGATTTGGTACTAAGGTTGATTCTAAGTGTGTGTTCGCTTCTCTAGGTAAGTGCTTTACTAAGTGTTTGTAGAAAGGAAAAATGCAACTTACAAGTGATTTTTCCCCCTTCCTGTTTGTTCTCGTTAACAGAAAGGGTTCAAAGACACCAGTCAGTATGTTGTAGGAGAATTGGCAGCACTAGAGAATGAGCAAAAGCAAATTGACACCCGTGCCGCGCTGGTGGAGAAGCGCCTCCGCTATCTCATGGACACAGGTACGGTGCCCAATTACACTGTAAACAGTTTTGGCAAATTGAGCGTTCACAAACTCTTATAGAGTTTTGGAAGTGTGAATCTTTGAAGCCTGAATGTTCAGCAAAACTGCCTTGAAAATAAAAAGGCTGCGATTTGCAGCCACCTCTCTGGGCCCTGGTGATAAGAGTGCCTTCATGGGAAGTGATAACTCGCCCTGATACCGTGTGAGCCAGCACTATTGAACAGTGTGCTCATCCATGCAGAGTTGGAATACACATCTGTGCCTCATTGATATGCCACTGCTTAAAAAAAAAGTAGATCTTTACTGTTCTACTGATTCATTGGGGGGAAAAAAGATTTGGCCAGCTAAAGCCATGTACTGCGTGAAGCAGAGTGCTGTGCGTAGGGTGGCTCCGTGGACTAGATCACTGAAATTTGAGAATATTATCTGGTTACTGATGCTCCACAGTGTTTTTTTTTTTTTCAAGAGAACAGGTTTTTAAAAGTCTGTAATACTTTATGTCGTAGCTGCATTTGAAAGGATTAAAGTATATAGCAAGGTTTGTAAAGATGGGTGAGCGCAGCAAGTTAGCTCCTAAGCAGAGGGCAGAGTGGCATTTAGTGCTGATTGCCAATGGAGATTGTATAGATCTAAGAGCACAATAAGCTATTGGAAAGGAACTCTGTGCATGTGCACGTGTGTTTCTTTAAAATATTACTCAGACAAAATGATAACAGTTGAAAATTAAGTTCAGATCCTTCACACACACACAAATTCAAGGTAAGTTATGTTATGAAAACCTACCAAAAATGAGAGTTAAATATCTATTCCAATTAGCTGGTTTAGTTTTGTGATTATTGTAAAGAACAGCGGGATTAGCATTGGGAAGCTCTCCTGAGCCTTCCTGTCTGCTTTCTTACAAAGTATTCATTAATAAAACTTTTATTTTTATAAGCTTTTATAGATGGAATATTTGAAAATGCGTGTTCTAGTGACATCAGAAATGAGTCCAATAGGGATCCTGGGCCTGTTCTGATCCAGTGAGCTTCACATGTTCTGCAGAACTCCCAAGCTGCTTCTGAGGCACCCCAGATCCTGCCAAGACAGTAATGGAACTCAGGATTCCTCACTTCTCTTCAGGAGAGTGAACTCAGGCTTATTTTACCTGAATATTGACTTCTTAGACTTGGGAGAATAAGTTCTTCTATTTAAAATTTAAAACAGAAAAACCTTTGGAGGAAGTCATTGCTGACACCTCTCATGCTGATAAGGGACAGATGTAGCAGGTGCTCAGGGTCACACGGATCACCAAGCACAAACTATGAGCAGAATTCAGACCACCAGTGTCCTGTCATGGCCCTCCTCACTGCACCAGAGTAACCAGACCATGTTTGTCAGTCCCCCAACAAGCCATGTGTGTGGCATGCGTGGCTTGCCTTCTGTACGTACAGTTGTATGGAGTAGGCACACCTCTATAACCTAATATATTGTTTTATATTTTTCTTTGGTTTCTAAAGAAGTCTAAATATATTAGCTATGCTAGCTATAAGAACATAAATATGTGATAGTATAACTTCTCTAATAATTTTGAATTATTTTCTTGACGATTTTAAGGTGGCTGATGACTTCCTGCTTTATGTTGTGTTGACAAATAGAAAAAGATTTCCTTTGCTGACTGAACTGAGTAAAGTGTATGTTACTATATGAACCTGATACAAGGAGCCTTACCTGTTTTCTCTCTTTCATACATGATTTATTGAGGGTTCTAATCAAAAGAAACTGACATTCTCCTTCCCAGCCTGTATCACCAGTGGAGCTTGGAAATGGCCTTCTCCAGCTAGAGATCAGTTTTAGCTGAAGGTTATAGACTACAGATTGATTCCAGAATCCCTTTGGGGATTATCATATCCCTTATTCACAAGACAGAATTTTATCCTGCTAGGTCTCTGCTGCAGATTCAGACGAAAACTGACCCAACTTGATAAGCTCCAAAAATCACCTCGGACTGTAAGAAGCCTCCTCCAGCGCAAAGAACATATTAAGATAAAAACTAGTTAGTATATGAAACAGGATCATATGCTAGAGAGCAAAAGCACCAAATTGTCTTTTTTTCTCTCGGGGTTCTAGTACATTCCAACTTTCGTCATTTTAGCAGTACCTCTCCCCTGGTGTGTTAAAGATACTGGTGTACTTTCTGAATCTCAGCCTTGGAGATAAGCACAGCGTGTTCTTCACATGTTGGAACTCAGGCTCACATAGGGGAAATGACGCATTGGAGATGACCTTGGCTCCAGAAAGGTGGCTCGGTGGGTAAAAGTGCCTGCTGGACCAGTCTGACGGCCTGCGTCTGATGCCCAGAGCCCGTGGGAAGCTGGACAGAACTGATGCCACAGAGCTGTCTCGTTGACCTGTACATACTCAACACAACAGGCGTGTGTGTGTGTGTGTGTGTGTGTGTGTGTGTGTGTGCAAAATACTAAAAAAACTAAACTTAGAAGATACCCTTATTAGTAAAGACAGAGTTACAGCTTGCGCATAGATTTTTCAGGTTTTCTAGCTCTTGATTCCCATCTCTTTCCCTATCATTTCTTCTTCTCCCTCTGCCTTTTGATTTTTTTTTTCAAGACAGGGTTTCTCTCTGTAGTCCTGCCTGTCCTGAAACTTGCTCTGTACACCAGGCTGGCCTCAAACTCTGCCTCCCAAGTGTTGGGATTAAAGGCATGCACTACCACCGTCTGGCATTTTGTTTTCTGCTTAATGGAGTCTTATTACATAGCCCACACGAGCCTAGAACTCATTCTGTTCCTGCCTGCCTCGGCCTGGCAGGTGCTGGGCCATCACGTATGCCCTTACACTCAGCATCCACCGTGTCCTTTTACTGTGAAATACCCATTTGTCTGCTTTTTTCCTATATCCCTGTATATACTGGCTATAGTCAACATTTTTAGTGATTAAAAAGTCCACATGATCTAAAATTAATCCTTTGAAAGTGTACAGTTCTATAGTATTTAATGTGTTCACGGTATTGCATGATTGTTGCCACTGTATACAAAAGTTGTCACTCAAGTAGAAATCCATTTCTTTCTTCACAAACCCCTGAGAACTCTTTTCTACTTTGTTTCTGAATTACTTTATTCTAGATGTTTCATGTGAGTGGAATTGAACAATGTATCCTTCTGTGCTTGACTTCTTTGGTTTAACATATTGTTTTTGTGATTCATCTGTGCTATCGACATGTTCTGGTTCAACATCTTTTTTGTGGTTGAATAGTATTTTAGTGTACATGTATACACATTCCATTTATCTGTCAAGCTATTGATGGACAGTGTTCTATTTATATGTGTGGAAGTTTGGGCTGTGTGTTTGCATTGCCATGTGTGTGCATGTCTAGTGTTCACAGAGACTAGATGAGGGCATTGGAGCCTCTGGGACTGGAGTTACAAACAGCTGTGAGCTGCCATGTGGATTCTAGGAATCATTTTCCAGACAGGGTTTCTCTGTGTAACAGCCCTGCTGGTTCTGAAACTCACTTTGTAGACCAGTCAGGCCTTGAATTTAGAGATCCAGAGATCTGCCTGCCTCTGGTTCCTAAGTGCTGGGATTAAAGGCATGCGCCACCACACTCAGCATTTGATTGACAGTTCTTATTTTTACTTTTTGACCAGTGTGAACACTTATGTGTAGATATCTATTTGAAACACCATTTAAATTCTTTTGCATATACACCTAGGATTAGGATTTCTGGATCATACTGAAATTCTGTACTTGGTCGAGTTGTGAAATTTAGAAATCAGAATACATTTTCCAAATGAAACTCTCTTATAACTAAATAATACTAATAGTTACCCTGGACCCCAGTTCTAAATCCCTCCAGCTTGAGTAGCTCTGATCTTTAAGGACTTCCTGTCTGAGGGGGTTGAGGAGCGGGGGAGGAAGAAATTGGATGGAGGCCCAAACTGCTGGACCTTCTCCTGGCAGGTTGACAGGCCGCTCTAACAAGGAGAGAGAGAGAGACCCTCGGTGGGTCATGGAGCACAGTGAGAGGGTGCCGCAGGTGAGAAGCAGTAGCTGGGAAGGCCATCAGTGGCAGGGACAAGGCGAGCCTAAGGGTTTACGCAGTAGTTCCTTATCAGGTGGCTCAGTTAATCCAGAGTTGGTGATAGTCCAGATTCACTCATTCATGTTCTCTCCTTACCTTCCCCTGCTCTCTCAGCAGAGCTTAATTAGAAATACATAGTAAATATATTCCAAGCTGACACTGTGTAAGTGCTGCACCAGTGACTCTTTCAGCAAGTTGTAACCTTGGATGCAGTTTATAATGGGCATGTTCTGAATCCTGAGACTGTGCTGCAGATTATGTTACTGTGGTGAATGTTAATTCTTCTCCATTTCTGATTGGTTTCTATTTGATAGTCATATTTTCTTACTCTAAATATAGTAAGTTTTCACCTAGTAATGTGGGGAATTTTTTAAGTAATAATATTTTGAATATAAAAATTAAATCTATGAAGGAACTTTCAGCTTTATAGCCTTAAGCAATGAGTAACTGGATTATGGTAACAACCTTCAATCCCAGGCCAAACGGGACTTTTCCTAGACCATTGGGTGCAAACACTCAACTGGCCATTTAAATATACTCAGAGAAAAAAAAATGAATTTAAAAAATACTTTTTCTACATGGCCTTCCAAGTTTCTCTTTATCTCATCCTTTGAGATATTAAGTTGTTTTAAGGAAAGAAATGGACACTGTGTGTGGTGGCCCCTACCTGTAATCCTAGCACTTGAGAGCCTAAGTCAAGATCACAGGTTGTATGTTGGACCACATAGCAAAACCCTAACTCAAAACAAGATAATACAAAAGAGGAGGAAGATTGGGCACATACAGACAGAGTAAACTTTATGTGTTACTGTTGCTTACTGGTGTCTTCAGATCGCCAGAATCACGCCTTACCTTCTGCCTAACCTGGCATGATGGCCGTAGTCATCATGCCTCTTATATGTCCCGCTCAACGAAACGCA